CAGGAGATAGTAATTAATCCCAATTTACCACAAGTGTCAATATCCCATTGTTAAGTGGTTTTAAGAATTATTTAATAAAAACTCAGAGATATAAACAAAGAGGATGGAAAATGATTTACATACAACTGTCTATCCGTGACCCGACTTAATGTCACTTCCCTCCTTAAGTTGCTGTCCTTAAACATTTCTGGGAAATGTTCTTTCATTTACTGGTGCCACTAGCAATTCCAAGAACAAAGTTTGAACTATGATTCCTATTAGTTTATGTGTGTTTATCTAAGCTCAAACAATTTTTTAATTAAATGTTTTTGTGTCCTATACCTACTCATTTATGATTAAATGGTCCATCTGGATGAAGTCAAGTAGGATATAAAGCTTTTGACCCAATGTGAAGTGTCCAAATGGTCAAACAAGGCAGTGACAACGTCCTTTGGATTGGATTTAATCCGGCTTTATTGGCTTGGATTCTGTACCTAGAAAGCTTTGCCACTAGCATTTAGGCATTTAGGCACACAAAAAAGAGGAATTTTAGTAGCTGAAGTATGAATACATTTTCTGGGTAACTAGTTTCTGACTCAAGAATGGTAGAAGAAAGCACTAGAATTCTAGCAAAAAATATACATAAAAGCTAAAATACGTTTTCAAAAGTCAGAAAATATTAATCTCTCTCTCTTTTATTTTGTTATGCATAAATCCTAGGGTTTCTGGCAATAATTTAGATTATCCGTAACAGAATTTTAACTGCCCCTAAGGAAATGTAGTAATCAACATTTCTGGAAAGATGTCTTTGATGTACTCTTTCGCCTGGAACACGGACTAGGCCATGGGAACAATTTTCAGGTAGCTCCTGAATGGCATTTTGAATAGCTGCCAGGATGGTTTAAATATAACCCATTACATAAAACTGGAGCCACAATGCTGTAACCGCTGGCTGGGAATTGTTTCACTGAGCAAATAATTTAACAAACATTCATCTTTAGCAAACATCCTTCAATCAAGATTCAGTTCCTGGGAACTTGTGTCACAAAAATAAGTTCTATTATTTTTCTCAAATCTGTGAAGTTGATTTTTCCTTAAGATTATAATATTTAGATTTAAATTTGATAATGGTTTATTTTATATGCTTTCTTAAAAGTGCTGGATGTCTTGACCATTTCCGGTGGGAAACCATAGTTTATGTGGTCTTTAGGGACAACCACTATCCCTCATAGTATGTGATTTTTACTAGCTACAAATTGATGTTCAGGATAGGATTTAGGAAGCCTGGAGAATCTGGGCTATTTGTAGCCATGGCATTTAATAATCTATTCCAAATGATATTCTAATTCTACCATTATAAGAAATTATCTGATTCTTAAAATTCTCAAAAGGTAGTTTCTTTTTGTTAAAGATATATGTATATGTGTGTGTATATATATATATATATATATATATATGCATACACACATAAGAAGCTTAAAGGTTATGTAAATATATGAACTGCATAGCTGAACACTAAGATTAAGCTTAAAGATATATATGTATATATACACATACACACACACACTCAATAAGTTTCAAGGTTATGTAAATATACACATTGTATAGCTGAACATCGGATCTGTGTCTCAACTTCATTTCAATAACAAAGAAAATATATTTGGTACCTACATAAATAATTCCTTGAATACGGTTGCTATGATAGTTTCCATCTCACTTGATTTTCACAAAAACCTTGGTATGTGGTGTTGTCTCCATTATAAAGAGCAGGAGATTGAGTCTTACTAATGTTTGATAATGGGCTTTGAACTTTGGAGTTAGTTAATAAAATTTTGAAAAGCAGTATAAACAAACAAAGAAACTTAAAAAACTATTAAAGAAACCCATTTTGGAATGTGTTTAATTGCTCTTGTCAGGAAGAAATCATTCTTCTTTGAGTAAACGTTACAAGACTATTTGCACAACTCAAGGGATTAAAAAAAAAAAAAAAAACCTAAACAAATAAACAGACAAACCTTGGGGAGTGGCTGATGAGAGCAAAAATCATTTGATTTTGTGTGTGGATGCCAATAGCTTCTTTTCCAAACACACAGCACCTCAAAAGCACCCTATTTATATAATAAGTCCAATGAGCCAACTATGGCACAACTCCTTGAGATGATTCTATCTTGATTCTTGGGATTCTCAGGCTCATAAGTAGGATGCAGGATTCCCAAACTAAGCCTTTCTTATTTCCATCTCAACAGTGTAGGAGGTAAACTGTTAGCAAATCTTATTTCTCCAGCATCTTTGTAGTCCCTTAAACAGGAATCAACAAACCATATTCTTCAATTTGCCCTTAGGGCTGTCTTTCCTTTCATATGAAATTCATGCTATACCATCTGAGTCTACCTGTTTGTGGTTGTTTTGGTATCTTTTCAAAAAGTTTTCTTACACTCATCAAATGGCTTTTTCTGTATTAGAAAAAACTTTATCCGAAACTTGACATATCATACTATCAAGAACCAATGGCATTTACCCACCACAAATAAAACTCCTTTTTGTTTCAGAGTTCAGTTAGAGAGCTAGCCATGCTGTGGTTATTAGTCTATAATAACTCAAAGGCCAGCAGTCTTGGGAGTCAAGCTTGGAACGCCTTTTATCCCCTAATTATATATTCTGCATCGCCCTAGGGAGCGGTGAGAAAGTCTTGATGTGCAGTTACAACTCTGCCAGCATCAGTCTCAGCTCCCAGCCGGGCCCTCGCCCCCAACGTTCTTCATAGTTAGCTGTACTTTTAATTTTTATTTTTAGGGCCACCATTCTTACTTCCAGCAAATGATGTGTGAGCAGGGGAATTTATTATACTCTGGTGAGGGAAACTAATGCCTGGAATTCTTGTCATTTCCAAGTTACTAAAGCAGTACTTTGAGAATTAATTTTTAAAATTTTATGTCATAAAGAAAACTGCTTCATTATTTCACATTTTCTGTGGTTTTTCTGTATAAGTAGCTACAGGGAAATTCTTATAAATGAAGTGAAAATGTCAGTACAGGTAAAAAATTCATTATTTTATTTTAGCAAGATATGTCTCGTATTTTTCTTTTTATATGTGTATGTATTTATTTTTTCAGAGATGGAGGTGGGGGTTGCTGTCTCGCTATGTTGTCTAGGCTGGTGTTGAACTACTGGCCTCAAGTAATCCTCCCACCTTGGCCTGCTAAGTAGCTGGGATTACAGGCGTGATCCCAGTTTATGGAACACGTTTTTCTAAGAAATATGAAGAAAACACTGTTTTTTATATTGGCAGACATTTAGAAATTTAATTTCCACTGAGAAATGGAATGGAAATTCCTTTTTTTTTTGAGACAAAGTCTTGCTCTGGCACCCAGGCTAGAGTGCAGTGGCGAGATATTGGCTCACTGCAACCTCTGCCTGCTGGCTTTGAACAATTCTCTTGCCTCAGCCTCCCGAGTAGCTGGGATTACAGGTGGGTGCCACCATGTCTGGCAAATTTTTGTGTTTTTAGTAGAGATGGAGTTTCATCATGTTGGCCAGGCTAGTCTGGAACTCCTGACCTCAAGTGATTCACCCTCCTCAGCCTCCCAATGTGCTGGGATTATAGGCATGAGCCACTGCACCCAGCCAGAAATTCCATTTTTATTTAGAAATTAATTTAAGAGATCTAATAGATTCATTTTATTAAAATAATTACTATAAGTAAACTATTATAAAGTCTTAAAAAACTATCCTGTAGAAACAGATATCCACAGTTATTCATAGAGAACTTTTGTTAAACAGTGCAGTACTGTTTACATATTTTATTATTGTTTCTATATTAATTTATTTGACATTTGACCTGAAAATTCAGAACTTTGTTATTCAATGCTGAATTAAGTAATATTCTTTTTAAGTTTAGGAATCTCTCCTATGATGTTTATATCCCTTAAGAAATAAAGTAGTATTTTATAGGTTTGTAAAGATTCATTGTTTAGCCGGGCACGGTGGCTCACGCCTGTAATCCTAGCACTTCGGGAGGCTGAGGTGGGTGGATCAAGAGGTCAGGAGTTCGAGACCAGCCTGGCTAATACGGTAAAACCCTGTCTCTACTAAACACACAAAAATCAGGTGGGCGTGATGATACATGCCTGTAGTCCCAGTTACTCAAGAGGCTGAGGCGGAAGAATCGCTTGAACCTCGGCGGTGGATGTTGCAATGAACCAGGATCATGCCACTGCACTCCAGCCTGGGTGACACAGTGAGACTCTGTCTCAAAAAAAAAAAGAAGAAAAAAACGAGATTCATTTTTTAAATGTATATAGGGTGCTTACTAAGGTAGACAGGCCCATGCGTTTTGACAAATGCAGACAAATGCATCAGCATCATCAAGATGTGGAACAACACTGTCACATGCGCAATCCCCATGCTCCTCCTTTGTAGTCAGATCTTCTCCCTGGCCTGAATGGCTGGCAGCCCCTGTGCTGTTTTCTGTTTCTGCGGTTTTGTCTTTTCCAGAATGTTATACAGGTGGAACCACCTTCTGAACTTGACTCCTTTTGCTTGGCACGGTGGCTCTCACCTGGGAACAACCTTGGCCTCTCCAGGGAACATCTGGCAATCTCTGGAGGCATTGTTGGTTGCCACAACAAGGGGGATTGGGAAAGTGCAGCATGGATCTAGTGGGAAGAGGCAGGGAGGCGGCTAAACATCCTCCCATGTGCGGGACATCTCCTACAACAAAGAATGATCTGGCCTAAAACAGTTATGAGGCTGAGAAACACTGACTTAGCAAAACACATTTGAGATTGATTTGTATTCTTGTTTGTATCAAACAATTGATTCCTTTCCTTTTTTATTGCTTAATAATATTCTGTTTCATAAATGTATTCTACTCTGTTTATTCATTTACCTGCTAAAGGATATTTGGGCTGTTCTCGTTTTTTTTTTTTGGTAATTGTGAATAATGGTATAAATATTTGTGTGCATGTTCTTGAGTGAGGGTAAGTACTGGGTGTAGGATTGCTTGGCCGTTTGGTAAGTATGTGTTTTATCTTTATAAGAAATTCCAAACCGCTTTCCAAACTGGCTGTACCATTTTGCATTCCCACAAGCAACATACTAGAATTCCAGTAGTTCTTCATCTTCAGCAGTACTTGGTGTTTTGTGTGTGTGTGTGTGTGTGTGTGTGTGTGTGTGTGTAAATTTAATATATGCAGGATCAGGAATGGGGGCTCACACCTGGAGGTGGGACAATTGCTTGAGGCCAGGAGTTCGAAACCAGCCTGGGCAACATAGCAAGATCCCTGTCTCTACAAAAATGAAAAAATAGCCTGGTGTGGTGGCATGTGCCTCTAGTCTTACTTGCCTCCAGTAACTACTTGTAGGTGGAATTGAGAGGACTGGTTTAGCCCAGGACTTTGAGGCTGCAGTGAGCTATGATTGTGCCACTTTACCCCAGCCTGGGTGACAGAGCAAGACCCCGTCTCTAAGAAAAATAAAAAGAAAAAAAAGTAGTATATGTATTTAAATTTTAGTCTTTCTGAGAGATGTGCGGTAGTATCTCATTATGGTTTTAGATTTGTCTGTTTTGGCTAATTTTTAGGATTTTAGAATTTAATGCACATTTTCTGAGATTTCAAAAATAGTATAAAAACAGTATTTAATGCATGTCCACAAAGGCATTAACAACTGTGTGTATTTAATAATACACACAGTTGTTAATGCCTTTGTGGACATTCATTCTGTTCTTCTTCACTGTAGAGCTACTAATCCTTTTACAGCTTCTATTTTAAGAGAATCCAATTTATGGGCATTAGGATTCATTGATCTAAAAAGGCCTTCAGGATATACCTGGCCTAGGCCCTTGCCTACTAAATAGATTTTGAGAAAAAGAGAAGAATCTATTCTTTTTGTTTTTTGTTTTGTTTTTTTTTGAGACGGAGTCTCGCTCTCACCCAGGCTGGAGTACAGTGGCGCAATCTAGGCTCGCTGCAACCTCTACCTCCCGAATTCAAACGATTCTCCTGCCTCTGCCTCCGGAGTAGCTGGGACTTACATGTGCCTGCCACCACGCCCGTCTAAATTTTTTTTTTTTTTTTTTTATAGAGACAGGGGTTTCATCATGTTGTCCAGGGTGGTCTCGATCTCCTGACCTCTTGATCTGCCCGCCTCGACCTCCCAAAGTGCTGGATTACAGGCGTGAGCCCTGCCGCTATTTGTGTTTTTAAATATGATTAAGGGATTATCTGGAATAGCTGCAGGCATTGCTCACAGTTCACTGGGGAAAAAGACAAAGCTTTGGCATTCCCAGTGTTTAGCTTGCTGGCTGGTGTGAAATTAGTTCTACACAGGCAGCACCGGAACACAACAGAGCAATATTATTTTTCTTGGATTCAGGTGTTTGTCAAACATTGCCCTCTACTGGCTGGCAGCTGCAATTACTTCTAATAAATACAAATAACCCAATTTGTTGCCTGCTCTCAAAATTTGCTGTTTCCACCTCTAACAATCCATATTAAATAGATTAATAATCCTTCCTTTAAAGCATAACTTTATTGATTCCTTTATATCCCTAAATAGGTGTGTCAGGAGCATTGATACAGAGAGGATATTTTGATTTCTTTTAAAACAAACCTGAAATCTGTCCTAGTAGCTAATGAACAGTCTCATTCCAGGCAAGTTCGTGGCTTTCAGGTAAGGTAAAACTTATGTAGGAAGACCTCAGTTTCACTTATGGCCATGCCTTCTTAATTTTGGACAATTTGGTTTATAAAGGCAGAAAATTCATTGTGTTCAGCGAGAACAGAAAAATTGCAAAAAAGTGTGTTGACTTTTTT